ATTGAAAAGAACAGAGGAGAAAGTAGAATAGGCTTCACAGCTGTTAGATCTCCCTTTATCTTGGAATTCTTGGGTATTAGCTGGCTGTCACTTTTCCAATTGTCAGATACCTTTGATAATAGGGACGGACCTGCCATCTTGGTGTTGGTAGAGAAGGATAGGAAGAGGATTTGGAACGTAAACTGCCTAAGTCTAACTAGCAAGTAAGGTTTTGCCAGACCCATGAGAAGGAAAAGAAAAAGGAAAGGAATTGCTCTATTTACCTTGTATGGCTTCCATGGCTCACTCTCAAAAGTGTCATGCTGCATCCATCCACAAGCAAGTAGGTGATCAAGATAAAAAAAAGCTAATGTTATTTGTTCCAAATACCCTTCGAAAAACACTCCTCTCACATGGCTGTGAGAAACTTGAGCTTACTTGTGGGCTCACAGGTTGGGGAGACGCTCTGCTGGTAAATTTTGACTTTTCCTTTCGGTATCTGCTGCTAAGTTTTCACACAAAAATTTTCATAGTTCACTAAATAAAACAAATAAAGATTCATGCTGGGTCCTCGTAAGAGTAACTAAATAAACTCTTTTGCTCATTGTGCAGGAACTAGATGTGCCTGTCCTTGTCTTTTCCGCAGGCCTTGCAGACATCATTGAAGAGGTTCTGATCGAGTGGAATTTCTATGCTCTTATTAGTTTATGAACCACATTGCAATGCAGACAAGTTTTTCCTTATTAACTTTTTAAAAATAATTTATCAGGTTTTTAGGCAGAAACTACATAGATCTTTCAAGAATATCAAAGTTGTTTCCAACAGAATGGTTTTTGATGAAAAAGGCTGCCTTGTTGCCTTTAAAGGTGAGTTTTGTGCCTTTTAGTTTCACCTTATCTTAAACAGTTTACAAGTCTGCATTCCTTATGTCATATGGCTTTGCTTTTTTGAACATAAATGTCATAGCCTAAAACTTTGTCTGTGCATGTTCACTTCACTATATCATATGGTTTTGTTTTTTGTACAACAACAACAAAGACGTAATGTCCTACATGGACGTTTTGCTTCCATTGAGAAGCTAAATCTTGATAAGTATATGGTATTAATCATGAGAAAGCTTATATACAGAAATTGCAAAATAGATTGTGAATTGTTTTATAAGTTACCAACGACCTTATCTGTCTTTTCAATTAAATTTGCATAAGCATAGGAAAAAGTAAATCCAAGATGAATCTATGGTCTTATTAAGGATTGTCATTTCATGGCACAGGGGTGTTGTTGTCTTTCTGATGCAATACGATTTCATGTCGTGTCAGTTGGCAAGTTCTTATGCAACCCAGGGCAGCCAAAAAAAGGGTCTGGCCATTTGTTAGCATTCTCGACATGGTTTGATGTAGTTTGTATCCATTTTTTTACATGTCTTACTTGGCATGGAAATTCTTTGATCTTATTACCGGAAACAAAACCCATACTCACCCTTTATACAATTTTATTGATGAGTTTTATTCTTCATTTTCTAATCCTCGGTCTGTCCTGCTTTGCTGCAATTATTCCAATCTCAGGAAAGACAATTCATGTGCTAAACAAGAATGAGCATGCATTGGATATGGCTGCTCCTATTCATGACAAATTCAGGTATCCTAATGGATATAATCCTGATAGTGTCTTGATGAAGCAAAGAACTAATGTGTTACTTCTTGGAGATCATGTTGGCGACCTGGGCATGTCTGATGGTCTGAGTTATGAAAACCAGATAGCAGTTGGATTTCTGTAAGTTACTTTTTAGATACTATCAAGTAATGAACTCATTCATTCATGTATAATTTTCATGCAAAATTCGATGTATATATATTTTTTCATTGAGTATCTTATTTGGTGTTCTCAAGTATGTCAACTGTTCTGTGATTTGATGGACAATTAATTTGCAATTACAGGTGCTACTTCCATATATAATTTGCAATTACCTGACTAACCAAACTAATAAATAAGCAAGAACTTAAAAATTAGGAAGGTTACAAGGCATATTCTATATGTTCTTTGTATATAGTTTATACGTTTTTTTATTAATTTCTTTTTCTTGTCAGGAATAATAATACAGAGATGTCCTTCAAAAGTTACCTTGATGCATTTGACGTTGTATACCTGGTGAGACAAATTTTGACCAACTCATGCAATTGTTTTCTTTCGCTCAATTATCATATACTTCTATGCTTTTAAAGAGTTCATTTTTCGCAGAATGATGCATCCATGAGAGGAGTTGTTGAGCTCGTATCTCAATTGTGTGCAGAGAATCAATGATATAAATACATTATGTGTATGCATTTAATCATGTTCTTGTCATTACCAGCTACATACTTTGTCATCTTTTCAATTTTCCTCTTATTTTTTACTTTGATGAGAAGCAAAGTTATCATATGAGATGTTGAACAGACATTATATCTTCTAGATTAAATACATAATTTTTCTGGTACATGATAATTGTTCATAATTTCTTACGTTAAATCAATTTTTTTGGTACACGATAATTGTTCATAATTTCTTGCAGTAAATTTTCTCGGAATTTTTTTTTTGCCCTTCTCTCATTCCCCTTGAATATTAATATTACTCTCTAGAAAGCTGGAATAGAAACATTGTATTTAGAGCTGGGGATTGTCAGAATCCAAGTTGGCTGAGCAGATTAAGGCTACAATTTCTACATAATGCATGTGTAAATACTTCGTGAATACTTGGATTATGTAATATGCATTGTTTGCATGCAACTCTTGTTGCAGACTTTAAGAAACCACTACATAGTCTTACAGCCAGTGTGTATACTAAAAACTAGATGTCTGTGTTATTCTAGCCCGAGGGTTTACGACAGTCAACTGACAAAAACCTTGATTAAGTCAAACTGATCTGTTGGGTGTTTTGCTTATCCAACCAAATTTAACATGTCATATGGTGGCTGGAGGTTTGACAACAGCAAGATCTGTCTAGAGCATTAGGATGGTCGGCGCTGATAACATTGTTCTTTGGCTGTGGATTACGGGAGTCTCGTGCATCAAACCCGATTCGTCCTGTCGGACCAGTGGATCAAACAGTAAATTTAAGAACAAATTGTCTAAAGGTGGACGTTGATCGGACCAAACCGCGAGTCATGATTCATTGGTCAAACTAGTGTGTCAAATTAATACAAGAATATTTAAAAAAACAAATTATTCCTAAGAGATGGTAAAAGAGATTACTGAGGATGCTTTAAATAAATTATTCAAAATAATAGCTTATTCTAGTCTAATAACCACATACTAATACAATAGTATCGCTTACTCCTCAAAATGCAGTTCTGACTGCTTTATGGAGTAGGAATGATGAGTGAAAACTTGGAAATGTTGCCTTCTTCTTGTCATTGCAAGAAGAAATAAATAAATAAATATATTTATTTATTTATGATGAGTGACAACAGATGAGGCGGTATGTTCTGTAAAACATTAATCCATGCATAATTATGTCTAGTTTCTTGTTGTTCTTGATGTGCTAACCTAGATTGTGTGCTCATGTGTGTTGTAGCCTGACACGGTTACCGGAGATAGTGTTTGTACTGCAGCAGAAGGATCTTCCAAAGTTCAAGAGAAAGGGAGGCGATATCTTTTAGTACCACACATTATCCCGTACTAAAGCTCTCTGTGGCTTCCGGTTCGTTTTAACCCATTTAGATAACAGGCAACTAAACTATTCATCAAGTCGAACACTGGTGAAGCTGTGAAGCCCCGTATGAAATTTAAACTAGCCTGTTCAAAAGTTTAATATGCTCATTCCAGGCTTTAAATCAATGACATATAGCTATCGATGTAGATCAATTCAAGGCAACAAATGACGAGGGAATGCCAATGTACCGGAGACCCTTCGTGAGGGGGAAGCTCTACATCCGCATTACGGTGGCCTTCCCGGATTCACTGACACCAGATCAGTGCAAAACTCTCGAGGCTGTGCTTCCTCCAAAACCTATATCAGATGACCGACATGGAGCTGGATGAGTGCGAGGAAACAACATTACGTGATGTTAACCGAAGAAAATAATATAAGATAAGAATAATTATTAAAGAAGCTTTATTCATGTTCCCTCTTCTATTTATATAAATTAGGAGAAATAATTTCCCTCAATAGAAGATTTTCCTCAACAGAATAGAGAGATTTCGTTGGGAAAATATGATGATGATGATGATGTTCGTGGAGGTGCCCAGTGCAAAGATAAGCAAAACCAATCGACCTCAGTTCGCATTTAGTTTACTGCTTATGAGCTACTCTCACAACCATCTTCACCATGGTACTCTCATAGAGCAAAGCTCTGTGACTTAGAAACTGCAGGCCATTCACAACCTTGTGCATGTGCATTCTATGACTTCCAATGCTCACCGATATCATCCAGGATTGCATCTTTCCGTTAGTCATATGTTTCCGATTGATATTGTTTGATCTTTCAAGAAAGATTTAGAAATTATCAAATATAGCCGTAGTTCTTATGTGTTACTAATGCATTTTCTCCGTGTGGGTAAATTTACTATTCGCTTACAGGAAACAATTGGTTATTGTCTTCTCTGTCAACGAAGAAAACAAATAAAATAAACAACTTGAGGTTGTAATTCTTGAGAACCAAAAAAATCAAGCAATCGATTAATCAAAACCTATGCAAATATTTGATGGATGCAGATGTGCTTATGATGCTCAAACAAGAAATTATGTAGTTCACCGTTTCCTAGAAATGATGAGATCAGTCAGAAAAATAATAATAAATCGATGAAAAACCTTCTCACATTCATATAATTTCAAGGTAGATAATATGCTAAATAATTAGATATCTATTGAGACATTCGAATTGGATAATGCATTAATACATTATTGTGTTCGAATTCATGTCATTTAATGTAATGATTTTTTTTTATTTTTTTTTGTAAATATTAAATAATTTAAAATTTACGTACGGATTTTTTTCCTTATTTAGCTAATGTGGTAAATAATTTAGAATAAGAAGCGCACAACACGAAGCCCGGAGGGGCGAAATCGATTGCTGCGGTTTCGGTTCGCCCGGCCCATCTTAATGAGGCCCGGAGGACTCTGCCGCATCCACCACGCCGCCAGTCTCGCAAGCGCCGCCTCCATCGCCCTCCCCTGCTTTCCTCCCACAACCTTCCCTCCCCCTGCATTCCGGTGCTTCCGTCCGGGAACTCCGCGAGCCGGTGGAGGTTCGATGGATTCCACTACCATGTCGCCGCCAGGTGTCGCCGTCCGAGACCCGAAGTCGCTGGTGGAGAAGAAGACCGCAATCCGGTGCGCCGGCTGTAGTAAACTCCAGGCGAGGAGCCCGATCTTTTGTCCTCTACTCCCCCTTTGTTTATGCAATCTAAGTGTTTGATCTAGTGCCCATTTCTTGAAACTTTTAGGTGATTGCCGATTTTGACGGCACGCTCACGAGGTACTGGATTGATGGCCGCCGTGGGCAGAGTAGGTTACATGAATCCCTTCCTCTGATTTAGTACGTGGAAATGGAGTTGGTTCTGATTAGGTTTCCTGGCTTTGTTGTGGTTAGCTAGCCATGGATTGCTACAGCAGGGGAACGCGGAGTATGATGCCAGGAGGCAAGCGTTGTATGAATACTATCATCCCTTGGAGATCTCGCCAACCATTCCCATCGAGGAGAAAACGAAGCTGATGGAAGAGTGGTATGCGGATGTACTTGCTTCCGAAAATTCCAGAAGCACCAACGAGTCTGACATACATGGTTTTGACTTAACAGCATGTTAGCCAGGAGCCAAAATCATGCATGCTAAGCCCCCAAAATAAGGCATACAGAAGGAGCACTTGTGGGGTGGATGGTGCTCATATAATATCTTATGTCATAGCTCACACAGGCCATCCTAAACACTTAATGCACCACTTAGAATAATGACTTTGTTTCCATGTCTAACCTGATAGCTGATAGTTGATACTAGGAAGAAAGTTTCAGTAAATGTGAATACCCTGTTTATGGATTACTGGACTTGCATGTTTAAATTAGTAATGATGAAAAGACCATTACTTGGTCCTTCTTTGGCCACTTCAGTTATGTGGATCTGTTGTTTATTAAATTTCTTAAGTACTGAGAAAACTTACCTAAAAGTCATAAATTTATTATTTGCTTCTATGTAGACAAATTCCTGCCATGTGGTGTACCTTTAACTGTATTACTTGTTTACTCATTTTTAATTAATTAACATTTGAGTTGGTTAAGTGCACAGGCACCTAAGATTTCATATCCTGCAACTTTAAAACTTGATGTTCTTTGAGCCTGCAGGTGGGAGAAGACACATGGTCTTCTTATCGAGGGAGGTGTTACCTATGATGCAATAAAGAAATCTGTCTCTGAGGCTACAATTGCTTTTAGAGATGGTGTTGTTGAGCTGTTTGAGTTCTTGGAGGTATGTTGTTTGTATATGACCTTGGGGATATGTCAATTTACCTAATTAGTATTAAACAAGTGTTTTTTGGAGCTTGTCATTGTTTTTGATTCATTTTCCCATATCCTGATTGCTAGGACATGAGGAGATAGAAAGTATGGATAAATTTTTAGGGGTGAGGTCAGAATTAAATAGTAAAGCATTTTATTCATGAAATACAAAATAAATTTATAGTATCTTAGAACTTTAGTTCCATAAAAATCACTTACAATGATTGGTAATTCAGAAAATATGTAATGAAAATTTGAAGGTTGCTTTAGAAGAGGAATACTGATTGGACTAACCTATATAAATCAGTTATTTATAAGGACAATTCAGGAAATACATAGAACCAACCTATTTGTTGGTACTGGTTGGTATTTATTTTAATGATACCAAGCTATATAGATAGGTTGCACCTGTTTTATCAGTATTTTAGCGGTCTGACCAGTTGCCAAAACCAGTATAGAAGCCATTTTTTCACGTTATTTTACCCTTATTTACTAAAATTTTAATGAGAGACTTGTAATGGCAAGTTAAAGCATCATAAGCTGGTATTTTTGATGATTTAAGCAATAAACACTTAATTGGCAAGCACGACATGCATATACTTCCACTAAGTAATATGATCAATATTGATTCTCATATGATGTCACTATAAGCTCACCCTGTTAGTAACTCCATGTACAAAACCACTTATAGATGGCTTGAATAGAATCTGCGGCTATTTCTTAAAGAAGATCTAGATAAGAAAATAATTTGTTTGACAACTTAGAAAGGTTTTTTAACTGGTGCTTGGAAGAAAGTTTCTTCATAATCATCTTTTCATTTATTTGATCCTCAATTCTAGGTTTTTACATGGCCACTGTTTTTATCAGCCTTTCCTTCCCATGAAGACTTATCCCATAGTTAGTTACCATAGACTTAAAACTTAATAATGGGCATTAGTTTTAATGGGTGTGAAATAAATAGTACTACTATTTGAACTAGCCATCATGATTAGGAGCTAGCATAAACTATTCTGTTTAATATAGGTCCAGCTAAAGGATATTTCCTATTGTCGAGGCACCTAGCCAAGGACAGCATAGAATATTTGGATGATTACTAACCAATTTTACAAATTTTTGGACTGTTCTCTAAAAGTTAGCTGTATTGGTGCTTAAAGATTACAATTTGATCATTCATATTACCTCACCACTATTTCTTTCAAGTAGTACGTTCTTATCAATGTGTTTTTTTAGTTATTCATCTTAAATAGTAACATGTGGTGTGCATATTTCCATATTCCAATATACATGTTTATGCATTATGCAATAGATATTGGCAGCAGAGTAGCTTGCTTAAATATGTTAAGCTAGAATAGCCATTTCACCAGACTTTAACGCTAGCCAGCTTTCTTTATTTGTAGTCACTCGAAGCACGTGAAGTATCCTGTATCCTAAAGCTAGCATTCGACTCTCTTTATCCTTTCAAATGGTTGCTTGTTAAGAAGATTGGTTATGATCTTGTTGAAGATCAAATTTGTCAAGTGGCCATATGTACCTAGAATCTCATATAACTAAGGTTGCTCTAATATTTCACAGATCCTGTGAGGGTTTGTTCTGTTCCTGCAGTTAAGCAGTACGTGAGCTGGAACTCACTGTAGAATGATCATGATTGGTATAACCTTTTAGGATATCATAGAACTAGTACAGTTTGTATCTTCTGGGCTGTGGTGGAACTGGACTGTCTTATATCATAATGTTCCTCTTTAAAAAAAGCAAACCTATCATCATGTCAATACTGATAGACATCAAAAGCAATCTTATGAGTTTATTTGGTGGATGTTGAATGCTGATCATGGATTTCCTAAATGTATTAAATTGATTAAATGTGTCGTAGGTGCTTGAACTATTCATAGGTATTTGATATTTGCAACCCCTTACCCCACAACCGAATCGTTACCCACAGACCAACGCACACATAAAAGCACAGGAAAAAAGAAGAGACCCCTACTGGGGATGTCTCTTATCTTTTAACAAGAGCGCTTCATTAGATATGAAATGTGGAAGGGCGGATTTTCAGAAATTAATCTAGTGTAACAAAAAATCTTTGTTTATCATGCTCATCAACAGATCTGTCAACACTTTCTCTGTAAAAGAGGCTCTTGGAATGGCTAGTTTAAAATAGTTGATACAGTTTAGACTGGATGAATGTAAAATAGTAGCCCACTTGTATTGATCTTCTGGTTGCCTTCTTTATGTACATTGTGCAGACTCACTACTTTTTCAATATCTTGATCTTCTGGTTGCACTTAGTTTATATGTAGATTGTGCTGACTAATTGAGCACAAAACATTCTTTGGTTGTATAATTATTGATCATATGTTAAATTCGAATAAGATTTCATCGTTATACTGTTTTTTCATCAATGGTTAAGTGAACTAAATTGCTGCTTAAAGTTTTATTTTTTAATTCATAAATGGTCTAGCAATACATAACTATTGAGTTGATTTTATTATTTTAAGCTACCCTGATAGAATTTGTGTAGGATTTTTATGTTGTAGTTTCTCTAGTTTCTTTTACTTGTTGAAAGTTGTGGGCTTAGACATACAACAAGGCATGTTCTGCGTCGCTCATAAACTTATATAATAGCTACTATGGTTTTGGAAAGGTTTCCTCGCAAGATTTCTAAAGGAGCTCCTTTGGGTTCTTTATTTTCTTTTATAGATTGATGGCATGTTTTGTTTGCTGTGTAGTTTGAAAAAAAGTGATCTTACTACCTAGGCCACATCAGCAACTGCCATTCTGCTAGACTTGAGACTGTGTACTATAAATCATAATATTCCTTTGAAGCAGAAAAGGAATTATACTTGTATGATAGCTATTATCATTGAGATTTAGTTAGTACTATAGACACTAGTTAATGTAACACTGATACGTTTAACACAATTTCAGCCACCACAGATACAAGCATGGAATTATTAATTTATCTATCCTCTGACCCACAATTTTGGCAACTGGATCTCTTTTTTTGTAAATTGGCTATTGTTACGTAACACAGAGATTTGCTCCTTCAAGTCTTATAGTGTGAGTACTTGGTTTTTCCATGAATACCAGGGATTTAGAATTCAACTAGTGCTCTGATTGGATTGGCAGTTGTCATCATTGAAGAGCTTAAAAAATCTGGGTGACCCGGTCTCTTGTCTTATCCTATCTGTGGCCCTTACTGTAATAAGGTTGCCTCATTGGTCACTGTTTACCCTGGTCTCTTTGTTTGGAACCATTCTTTATTCTGCCTATTTTAGGGGATGCGGGAGATTGCTGCCCAGGTCCCTCCTCCTGGAGAGAAAAAGGAGCACATGAGGACAGGGATAGTAAAGAATAGGAGGTAAACAAAATTGAAATGAACAGAGGAGAAAGTAGACTAGGCTTCACAGCTGTTAGATCTCCCTTTATCTTGGAATTCTTGGGTATTAGCTGGCTGTCACTTTTCCAATTGTCAGATACCTTCGATAAGTAGGGACGGACCTGCCATCTTGGTGTTGGTAGAGAAGGATAGGATTAGGAAGAGGATTTGGAACGTAAACTGCCTAAGTCTAACTAGCAAGTAAGGTTTTGCCAGACCCATGAGAAGGAAAAAAAGAAGAAGAGGAATTGCTCTATTTACCCTTGTATGGCTTCCATGGCTCACTCTCAAAGTGTCATGCTGCCTCCATCCACAAGCAAGTAGGTGATCAAGATAAAAAAAGCTAATGTTATTTGTTCTAGATATCCCTTCCAAAAACTCTCCTCTCACATGGCTGTGAGAAACTTGAGCTTACTTGTGGGCTCACAGGTTGAGGAGACACTCTGCTGGTAAAATTCGACTTTTCCTTTCGGTATCTGCTGCTAAGTTTACACACAAATTTTCATAGTTCACTAAATAAAACAAATGAAGATTCATGCTGGGTCCTCGTAAGAGTAACTAAACAAACTCTTTTGCTCATTGTGCAGGAACTAGATGTGCCTGTCCTTGTCTTTTCCGCAGGCCTTGCAGACATCATTGAAGAGGTTCTGATTGAGTGGAATTTCTATGCTCTTATTAGTTTATGAACCACATTGCAATGCAGAAATTTTTTTCCTTATTAAATTTTTTAAAAATAATTTATTAGGTTTTTAGGCAGAAACTACATAGATCTTTCAAGAATGTCAAAGTTGTTTCCAACAGAATGGTTTTTGATGAAAAAGGCTGCCTTGTTGCCTTTAAAGGTAAGTTTTGTGCCTTTTTTGTTTGACCTTATCTTAAACTGTTTACAAGTCTGCATTCCTTATGTCATATGGTTCTACTTTCTTTAACATAAATGTCATAGCCTAAAACTTTGTATATGCATGTGTATTGAATGGTACTTTCAAGTTACAAGCTCAGAAATTTAGAAGGGCCAAAGATACTGATCAAGTAATTCTAAAACCAAGTATACCTGAAAATATTAGGTTAAATCTTGATACAATAACAAGAACAACAACAAAGATGTAATGTCCTACGTGGACATTTTGCTTCCATTGAGAAGGCTAAATCTTGATAAGTATATGGTATTAATCATGAGAAAGCTTATATATATAAAGTGCAAAATAGATTGTGAATTGTTTAGAAGTTACCAACAACTTTATCTGTATTTTCAATTAAATTGGCATAAGAATAGGAAAAAGTGAATCCAAGATGAATCAATAGTCTTATTGAGGATTGCCATTTCATGGCACAGGGGTGTTGATGTCTTTCTGCTGCAATATGATTTCCTGTCGTGTCAGTTGGCAAGTTCTTATGCAACCCAGCGCAGCCAAAAAAAGGATCTGACCATATATTAGTGTTCTCAGCATGGTTTGATGTAGTGTGCATCCATTTTCCGACCTGTTACTTGGCATGGCAATTCTTTGATCTTATTACCAGAAACAAAACCCATTCTAACCCTCTATACAATTTTATTGATGAATTTTATTCTTCATTCTCTAATCCTCGGTCTGTCGTGCTTTGCTGCAATTAATACCAATCTCAGGAAAGACAATTCATGTGCTAAACAAGAATGAGCATGCATTGGATATGGCTGCTCCTATTCATGACAAATTCGGGTATCCTAATGGATATAATCCTGATAGTGTCTTGATGAAGCAAAGAACTAATGTGTTACTTCTTGGAGATCATGTTGGAGACCTGGGCATGTCTGATGGTCTGAGCTATGAAAACCGGATAGCAGTTGGATTTCTGTAAGTTACTCTTTAGATACAATCAAGTAATGAACTCATTCATGTGTACTTTTCATGCAAAATTCGATGTATATATTTTTTTCATTGAGTATCATATTTGGTGTTCTCAAGTATGTCAACTGTTATGTGATTTGATGGACAATTAATTTGCAATTACCTGACTGACCAAACTTATAAATAAGCAAGAACTTAAAAATTAGGAAGGTTATAAGGCATATTCTATATGTTATTTGTATATAGTTTATACCTTTTTTTTATTAATTTCTTTTTCTTGTCAGGAATAATAATACAGAGATGTCCTTCAAAAGTTACCTTGATGCATTTGACGTTGTATACCTGGTGAGACAATTTTTGGCCAGCACATGCAATTGTTTTTCTTTTGCTTGATTATCCTCTGCAGCTCTGCTTCTATGCTCTTAATGAGTTCATTTTTCGCAGAATGATGCATCCATGAGAGGAGTTGTTGAGCTCGTATCTCAATTGTGTGCAGAGAATCAATGATATAAATACATTATGTGTATGCACTTAATCATGTTCTTATCATTACCAGCTACATACTTCGTCATCTTTTCAATTTTCCTCTTATTGCTTACTTTGAGGAGAAGCAAAGTTATCATATGAGTTGTTGACCAGACAGTATATCTTCTATATTAAATACATAATTTTTCTGGTGCATGATAATTGTTCATAATTTCTTGCAGTAAATTTTCTCGGAATTTTTTTTCACCCTTCTCTCATTCCCCTTGAATATTGATATTACTCTCTAGAAAGCTGGAATAGAAACTTTGTATTTGGAGCTGGGGATTAGGGCAGCAATTTCTACATAATGCATGTATGTTTGAACTACCTGAATACTTGGAATATGTAATATTCATTGTTCGCATGCAACTCTTGTTGCACACTTTGAAAGACTATTACATAGTCTTACAGCCTGTGTGTAGACAGTCGTGGTAGATTGAATATGGTTGACTATAATACTAATTAGCTGCCATGTTTATAAGTTGATCCAAAAATTAGATGTCTGTGCCATTCTAGCCCGAGGGATTACGACAGTCAACTGACAAAAACCTTGATTTAAGTCAAACTGATCTGTTGGGTCTTTTGCTTATCCAACCAAATTTAGCATGTCATATGGTGTCCGGAGGTTTGACAAAAGCAAGATCTGTAAAGAGCATTAAGAGGGTAGGCACCGGTAACATTGTTCTTTTGCTGTGGATCAGATCCGATTCTAGTCTAAAATCGGGTCTTGTGCATCATACCCGATTCGTCCAGTCGGACCAATGGATCAAACAGTAAATCTTACAACAAAATGTCTAAAGGGATAACATTATCCTCAAAGATGGGCCTTCATTCGACCAAACCGCGAGTCACGACGATTCATTGGTCAAACTGGTGTGTCAAATTAATGCAAGAATATAAAAAAAAAACAAATTATTCCTAGAGATACTTTAAATAAATTATTCAAAATAATAGCTTATTCTAGTCTAATACAATAATTATGTTCTTTTTAGGTCCAGGGAATTATGTCTTACTCCTCAAAATGCAGCAATCTGACAGCTTTATGGAGTAGGAATGAAGAGTGAAAACTTGGAAATGTTGCCTTGTTCTTGTCATCGCAAAACCCTAATGCCCTACCGAAAGATTTGCCTTGCCTTGGCTTCATTCTACCTCCCTTACCTGTGCAACATTCATACCTTTCTGCACTCTTCACAAAAAGAAGAAATAAATAAATTATCCGGAACAATAACACATGAAAATATCTTTGTAGTAATAGTGCTTTAATCAATAACCTACATTTGTTTGTGAATTAATTTTCTTTTGCAAAATAGTAAGATTTAAAGGGAAGTCACTGTGCTTGACAATCCATTAAAATCGAAATAAATAGATAGAAGCACTTTATGATGGGGATCTTTAACCTAACTCTCTTAAGGCAGTATTCCAACTTTGTACATTGGGAGAGTTTTAGGAGTTTCTTGGTGTCCCACCCAAAAAAAGAAAAAAAAAGGACAACAAAAGAAAATGAGTCGAGTGGGGTTTGGTGGTGTGCCATCCACCAAAAGAAGATTTTTTTTTTGATGGGGATCTTTAATCTTTAGAATTTTTTTTTCTAAAATGGTGTATCAGACTAGTCCAATTAAATTATATTAGAGCTAAAAAAAGACAATTAGCATGTTATTAATTTGAGTTGGCAAGCAATTGCTTTCATCATCTATTCTTTAATAATATTGGTCCCAAACCACAATGCTAATTAAAGAGTAGGTGGGAGTAGTACACTTGTTTGTTTTCATCAAATGACTTCAAAGAGAAGACATATCTTGTGCCATTGTCCGTATCTTTTCTCACCTTCATCATGAAAAGACACTCTCTATGAGCCTTACAAACATTATCAGTTTTAACTTGTCTTGTACAATATTTATCATCAAGGATATACTACTGATGTCTTTGTAGCCTCCACTGTGAGATTCTATGTCCTTCTCAAAACAAAACACACAAATTTAACAATATTATATTGTCCTGACATGAATATTCCATGAAAATTATACCAAACTTGATTATTACAAAAGACATGCATGTAGAGTCATTACTTAAGGAGATGTCTTCAATTGAGAATAAAAGAACAAGCAAACTCATCAAACCCTCTTTCAAGCTCAACATTTAAAATCATGCATCTTAATGTAGGAAATGTGTGAAATGATACAACATACAATTAACTAATTTTGATAGAATCAAAAGCTAACTAATTATTTCTTGTACTTTGTCCTTCTGTATACTTTCTTGTTGAGCAATAGGTGACATCTACCAGATGGTTTTGTTTCAAGTTTCTGTCACTTAAGTGTTAAAACAGCATGCAGCATCTGTATTGCAATGAATTGGTTTTCTATAAATTAATAATAGATTAACCTATAAAAATAAGCACAACCCAGTAGTTTAAGTTCCTACTGTAATGGGATCTACAAAGAATTAATATTTATAGTCTTAACCCTATAAGTTTGGAAAGAATGACCCAATGCACAAGGATTCACAAATATAAGATTAGAATAGAGTCAATGCACAAAATCTTATCTTTGCAGGTAGAGATATTATATTATTGTTTAGAATCATAATTACCCATATTATAGGATTTGATTTAATGTTGCCAAGGCTCACTCACCATCAATAAAAAGTGGTTTTATGTAACTAATTAATCATCGTAATATTATTTGAAGCAATTAGCAATAGCTTTAATTTTTTCAATCCTGTACCCAACTGATGCTTGTGAAATATTTTCTCATCATTTATATTGTAGGGTGGGAGATCTGTCAACCAAATTTGGGTTAATCCAATTGGATCAAATGGGCATTTAGGTGATACTACAACATTTAGATGTTGCAATAGATTAATGAAGTACACCACATAATTGCTTTAGCCATGAATTATCTACGAGTTATAAAAATACTAATTACTTTTATCCTTCTTCTCAAGTAATGAAATAATGAAATTGACCTTAGTGGGAGAATCATTTATCACAAATGGTCATAATTAGTGGCTTTCATCTAGGGAAGTTGTATTTTTTTTTCTCGATAAAATAATTACAATAATTATTGAAAATAATTTCAGATATTTGTTATTTCTAAGTTCTTAGTTGCAATAATCCTCTTTTTCAGTATTGTTATGCCATAACTATTTATAATTTCATGAACAAATACATATACAAAGTCATCAAATTATGTCAAACATATAGTAGTAAAATTGTCTGTGAATGTAACATGATTCATAAGTCGTGTATATATATATATATATATATATATACACACATATATATGTGTATACATATGTATATATATATACAAATATATATATATACATATATATATTTATATTTATATTTATAGTTAATGTTAGTTTTAACTCTTGTGATTTTGACAATGAATCTTAAGTTATTATTGTTTATTTGTGTCTAAAATAATTCTTATATTTTTAAAAACGTAGCATATAAGTTTGAGTTAGTAAACGTTAGAGTCTATTTGAGTGATATGTTGACTCACAATAAATCATTAGTATAATGACACATATAATTTAAGTTTAAAAAAAACTGAAATCATCATCAATGGCAGGAGGAGACGTCGTCATGGAAGCGACCACCACCAGCAGCACCGAGCCGCTGCTGCATAGCAAGGTGTCATATGCACGCAGCCTCTCCTACGCTAATGATGAGCTCAAGAGCTTTCGGTCTTACCTCAAGTGGATGTGTGTCGATTAGTCTGACACTAGGCACATAGTAGTCTCCTAGTCCCTCTTCCTCCTCCTGTGCGTCTTTGTCCTCACCATCTCCCACTTCATCCTCTTTTGCACCCCCACCCATAATGCCTATGACGTGATGGTCCATCTCTCCCTCATCTCCACCTCTAGTATCTTCTACTTCTATCTCTTTGTAGAGGAGGTGGCTTATAAGATATGGTGATACTCGTCGAGATCAAAGCGGGTGTCGTACGTGATGGCGGGCAACATCGCTGTGGGCAACATGGTGGCATGCACCCTGGAGTTGGCGAGTGACACCCAATAGATCTATCTTGCTAGCTCCATGGCGCATGCCACCTCGTCGCCCACCACAGTATTGCCCGCCACCGCAAACGACACTTGCTCCGATCCCGATGAATACCACATACCTTGTAAGCTACTTCCCTTACAAAGCACAACATCATAAAGATGGTGAGCAGGCATAAGGAATAGTTGAGCTGGTCCATATAGCCTTCTTGCACCCGCTCGCTCTCCTCAACCAGCTTGTCGAGGAAGAGGAAGTGACGGGCGAAAGCGAAGAGGTAGAGGTAGGAGAGGCAGGAGGCGGAAGTAAGGGAGAGCTAGACCACCATGTCGTAGGTGCGATGGGTGGGGATGCAGGAGAAGACGAAGTGGGAGGCGACAGGGATGAAGACGCTTAGAAGGAGGAAGAGGGATCAGAAGACCACTGCGTGTCTAGCGTTAGCGTTAGACTGGTTAATGTACATCTACTTGAGGCAGGACCGAAAGCCCTTGAGCTCATTATTAGTGCGGGAGATGCTTAAGAGTTTCATGACCAAAACCATATAGGCCAAAAAGATCTTAACCCCATATATATATATATATATATATATATATATATATATATATATATATATATATATATATATATATATATATATATAGTGGAAGTAAGTTATTTCAAATGGCAAATGGTCTGATATTTTTCTATGAGAAATGCAGTATATATAGAGAATTTTGAGATGTGTTAACCATGCAACTCTACCCGTAGTTATCCATCCATGAATGAGTTTTAACTCTACCATCAATCATATCCAGCATCTCAATCACCACATGAGCTATAGCTGAAACGATCCAAAATGTCCAATCTATATAACACTACATGGGAGTACAACGACACTGAGCAAAGCTTGTGATGCACAGAACAAAACATATGATCAGAATACATCAGTCATTAGAAGGCCATAGTTGTAATGTTTATCTTAATGATGATATAATTCGTACTTCTGTAACTGGGCATTATGTCACTTGGAAAAGAAAGCAGCAATCAGGAAAAGACTAATTAAAAATGTAGTTTTTCTATCTATCTATCTTTTTTTGCTATTTTCGGCAGTGGATTTGCATAAAATTATTTATCTGTGTACTAACAGCAGACGAAAACACACAAAAATGACCATTAAAATACATTTCTACATGATTTAGATGGATAAATCTTTCTCTTCCATCATCAGTCCTTCTCCAGCAATCGCAATACAATAGTACTGTGTTCAGAGTCTCAATCGACCAGCTTCGATGAATCTTTACAAGAAGCCGACATCTTCTTCTTCGGCCATATCGAACTCTTTTCATGTCCCTTAGCATCGGTAGTTTACGCGACAGGAAGGAGAGCAGTAGTCATATCACACCTTGTCATTAAACATGTCGTTCTCCGATGATTGATCCTTCTGAGCTAAATAATTGTGGCCGAACTTTATATGTGATCTCCTGAGTCGTTCATGTCAAGTGCACGCCTTCTGTGAACGAAAGGACCTGTGCTGAATTCTTCAAGCATTAGGCATTTATCACCATCTGCCCACATAAAGGACAAGTCACGAGTTATGATGAAATCATCAGTTTTATGTACCGGTAGAAAAGATTGAGATAAGTTAATGTTATCTATGACGATCTTGTTAATTGACACGTGTTATGGATACATCTTTCACCAATTGTTTTATCATCATCATCAATTGTTTTTTACAAAGAATAAATGACGAAGACTATATTTGAGCCAAAGATCTTACGTTATGTCAAGGTTTTGTTTAATCATTATTAACTGAATTTTTTTATTTTTTTCTTATAGTTTCTCGCTATCTTATTTGTAATCTTGAGTTTATTTTTTTCCTGAAAATATCTTTAGGCATTTGTTTGTGACCAAATCCTGGTCTAATTATCTTTATCATTGATCTATTTTTCTTTTTTAAATGCATTAATCCATAATAATAATAAGTATTTATTATGAGGAGGGATGATAACCACACTCAATGTCGAGAATGACCAAAATGTTTAAGCTAAAATTGATAGTAGTACATTCATAAAATCCTTATAAGTTAATTTTAATTTTGTTCACTTTTGATATAGGATTAATCATGAGTGTTACAATCTCCCTGTCTTGAACATCGCTCAAATACTAAGTCGATTCTGATACCAAATGTCATGACCGATGGGTTAATTGGTCTATCAACTTTGTTTGGTCTAAACCATTGACTAAAATACTTAAGTTGAAGTTAATAATAGTACACTCATTAGATTCTTAAAAGTTAATCTTAATCTTATCCTGTATGACTAACTAGGAGTGTAACAATATATATATATATAGAGAGAGAGAGGAAGAAGACAAAATCCTATTGTCTCACCAACTTGAAAGTAAAGCACTATTTTGTTGCCACTAAGTAGCTAGATAACTACACATCATCAAACTCAAAAACGAGTCTGCCAAAATCAAAAGGAACTTAAAAGAAGTGGTCTCTCTCTCTCTCTCTGCATTAATAGTCACATCCCACCCTCACATGCTGGTGAGCAGAAGCAGGAGAGAAGAAAAGGCAAGACAGCACCAGTAGACTCTCACCAACTCATTGAATCAATCATAACCCTTCCACCTCTCCTCCTCCTCAAAATCTCCCACACCACCATCATCATTTGGTTTTTGTACCCCAGCTAAAACAAAGAACACCAAAAAGGAGGAAGAAGATTAGGAAAGCTTTCTTTCATTATATATTGCAGAAGCAAGCATACCATACGCCTTGTTCCTCACATCGCCTCTTAGCTTCTTCTCCTTCTTCCTCCTCCTCCTCCTCCCCCTCCTCCTCCTCCTCATCTTATGTAGAGAGGCTACTCCTCCTAGCCTTGGGAGATCGGCAATGTCTGCCCAAATTCTACCTGAGCGCATTTGCTACGTCCACTGCAACTTCTGCAACACCGTCCTCGCGGTATAGATCTTGCCGGATTGTTCTTTACCTTTTCCTCTTCTCCCCTCTTCTCTCTTCCTCCTCTCACTCAAATCATGCACGGAGATCTTTTGTCTAAGCTCCTTGAACATCTTTCTAGTTCTTAAGGAGGTTTGCAGCTTGAAGAGGGTGACCGTATCATGAAAGTAAGCGCATGTAAATATCTGAGATGATTGTGTCATGGGACTGACCACATGTTTGAGTCATAGAAAAAGGTTTATTGATCCTGTTCTGTTTGGTTTCTAGTCTTCATTCTGCCATCCATGTAGAACACAGGAATAAGGATGAGTATTTTATCACAATGGAATTGGCGCAGAAAGCAATATATAATCAAATGATTTGACATAACACATGCATACTTTTGACAGTTGAATGACAACTATGATATCTAGTGTTTGGATGTTCCCACCCATGAGGAAACAGTGGCCCTATCTTCACCTAAAGTAGCTCTTATGAAATATGAGTTGATGCTCCAAAGCAAAATAGCTGACACTTTTTAACATCCACTGCAAAGCATTAAGTTTCATTTCTACTGGACAAAAACCCTTCAATTTTTTAGTACTTCTGTTGGGGGTTTCATTTTTGTTTTCTATATCAGGGTGATACAATTCAATTAGACTCAAAAGCCAAGGTTTTGTTTCTTGTACGGTCAAAGGTCTCTCCTTTTCTCAGAGATTCTTTTCTACCTTTTCTTATAAAGAATGTAGAAAAAATGTTGCTTAAAGATGTTTGTTTGCTCACGTAATAGTCTCCGATTCTCCCTTGGATGTCTTGTAAATGATGAGATCTTATGTCTCGTTGCTTCAAAATTTCTTTGCCGCCCACCAAGGGAAACTTTGAGGGCCAAGATCATCCTCATATCCGTCACAGAATCGGTTCCTTTCTATCCAGATTTGAGATATTTCTTCCCGATAAGACAAAAGATTTCATCACATTCTTCGAGAATTCTACCTATGACATCTCTTCGCATCCTTCTCTTCCTCCATTTTCTTCCACTATGGTTTCTTTTATTCTCTTCAAAACTTTTCTTCTCCTTTCCTCGTTTGGTAATGGCTCTTCCTTCATGATTTCGATAACCTTCGAAGCAGAAAGGAGAGATGAGAAGACGAACAGCTTGCTCTTTCTTCTTTTTTCTTTCCTGGATTATTTTCTTCTTTTGAGTTAGATTTATTCTGGCTCATCTTAACTCTGACTCACTTCGATTTCCGGCAGTAGCAACTGCGCGCTTGCTTCCTTTCGAGAGAAAGTCTAAAAGTCCTGCAAGTATTGAGCTCTAAAAGGTCGACATTGGGAAAGGAAAAGTAAATGCCTCGCATCCTCGTCTAAGGAGTCTGCTCATCTTTTATTACTAAGCCTAATCCACCTCCTACCTTTTGCCTTTTACAGCTACTCTCTTCACGAAGACAGTTAAATTTGACTGCGTGCATGTCTTTCTTCTTCGAACTACTCTTTCTTTTATGCTCCCATTTCTCCTTCTCCATCTATCTCTCATTTGTTCTCCAATTGTAGTTTCCTTTTCATCTTCTTAGATTTGCTTTTTAACTGTGTCCAGATTTGTCTGTCACTCATTTTTCTTAGAACAACAAAGCTGCAATAATAATTTCTGTTCTGCAACTGCAGCTATAATGCACCAGCTTTTCTCAGCTCCAAGTCCATGATAGTTTGGTGATCATGCAGGTCAGTGTTCCTGGCAACAGCTCCTTCAACAATGTAGCGGTACGATGCGGGCATTGTTCAATTCTGTTGTCTGTCAACATGGGAGACTTGCTTCAAAGACTTCCTTTCCAAGATTTCCAGGTTTGGAGTGTTCCCTGAAGATCTTTGATCTAGTCTTTGCTCAGTGACGAAAGGTTTCAATATGCTATCTTTCTTTTCTCTTGTCTACTGCATTGGAATGGCAGAAACTGTGTGTTCTTACACACAGTTTATGTGGTGTGTAGCTCATTAATGAATGTTATCAGTATATTAGCCACTCTAAATGTATTGTCATATACTTTACCGGAGAGGTTAGCATTAGTTGCCTTTTGGCAAAAGAAATAGTAGTATGGCACAAAGTAGAGAAAGGTGAGAAGTCTTTTTGGTGTTTGAATGCACTATGCATATTATTAAGGGTTAATATATCAAATAATTTAGTTTAAATTTTCAAGCACTTCACTCACACTTGAATCAGAAATTGCAGACCTGCAACACAGCAGCTCAAGGTAGCAGGATGGAATGTGGATCACCTTCAAAGTTTAGTAGGTCTTCCTTACTGTCCACAATGCCAAATTATCAAGAACAAATGCTACCTACTCGACGTAAGCCTCTAAACCTAACTTATTATCTTCTAATTTTCATGATTAGTAGCAGATAATTGGCATGATAGCCTTTTTAAGGACCTTTTGAGTACACATTCATCCAACAAAGGTTAGACAGACTGCACAATGGTATGTGTGTGGAGTACAATACCCTATGGACTAAAAGATTGAAACACATTATTCATCATTCAATTACAATAACACTCGTCGGCCATCTCTTATAACTTCTATCTTTTTGTTGATTTCATCATTTTTTTTCTTAATTATATCACCGGCAATGCTAGTTAAGCATAAACTATTATCGATTAATCTACTGATTTCTCTTTCTTTTTTTCTCGAAAAAAGCCCCGGAGAAGAGACAACGCGTGCCATCTGCATATAACAAGTTTATCAAGTGAGGATATCTCATGCTTGATTAGTTTGATTATTATTTTTTAATGGAACATTCATATGATAAGCCTCACAATGACAATTATACAGCTCAAGTAAACCATAATGCTGACAATTATACAGCCTCACATAGTGTTTAACTGCATGTGCAGAGAGGAGATACAAAGGATAAAGGCTAAGAATCCAGAGATCAGCCACAGAGAAGCATTCAGCACTGCAGCAAAAAATGTAAGTAATACACAATTAATGTTGCCACATAAATAAAAGAAAGAAAAGTTATCATTATAGTAGCTTGTGAGATATATATATGAGTTAAAATCTTCAATTACTTACCATGAGCAAAATATATATGATCAGTACAAGATAGCTTGGGGATGCATCTGACTGATCCACTAATTTCACTGTAGTAACATGTGGGATCTAATAAATGTAGCATCATTATTTACTTATCTTTCTCATTATTGAGTGATGATCTTAAATTAGAGGCTTTTCTACTGAATTAATTTGGTGTAATCACCATAGAAGCTAAACAGCCTGACTGGAGAACAATCTACAGTAGTTAACATCATAAATTAACTTGAATTTTTTTGGTCAAAATGTAATTCATCAACCGCTATAATTAATTGGTCAATGTTAAAATACAACATTTACATAGATTGGATTGTGAACTGTTCAAGACTAGTTATATCTATTTTCAAACACTAATTCCTATAGATGCTTTACTCCTAATTAAAATGACCCTTAACATCCCAATGCAAAGCATTACAGAACCATGCAAGGTCTTGCAACAGCATACAACCATTCAGTTAACTCAAGTATCATTGGAATAGTTTGACATTTTAAAGGTTGTCTCACCTTTGTAAATGTCTATAGAACATATTTCTACTTTATTTTGTTGATTATTTATCATATAGTGATGTTAATTAGGAGCAAAAAAAAAGTAAAAAAAAAAAGAGTTAAGATGAGATTTGATCTTAAGATCTTACTATCAATAGTTAAAGCTTTTATTAACCAAGTTATCGGACATCCTCAAACTTATTGAATAGGGTCTTGAACTCTCAATACTTAATATTTTAGGTATTCAATTTTCTCATATGAGACTTCCGATTCTCAACCTTTGGTAAGTGAGTCTAACACACCTTAAAATTTATTGGATGAGGTTTTGAATCATCGAACTTTTGATAAATGAGTATCGTATACAACCATCGAACCAATATTTTAAGTCTAATATTTTGTCGGATAAGGTTCCATACCCTTAAGTTTTGATAAGTGGATATTGTAGGTATAAAAATTTATCGGATAAGGTTTTAGTAGCTCAACCTTACACTGCCATATTATTGACACTATATATTTTTGAATTATTTATAAGAATAATTGGTTCATTAAGATATCATTAATATAAGAACTTAAAGAGTGGTTGATTCTTTCATCCAGCCAGAAATTAATTAGTATCTAGACATTTCTCAAAGGTAAGAAGGTTACTTTTTAGAAAACTAAAATCTGAATGTTGTAATGGATCACATCATCAAATTCCAATTAAAAAGGTCATCTATGACAAACCACCATATTGAATCTTATATTGGCTCATCGATCTTTTATTGCATTGACCTGTTATTTGAATCAGTAGAGCTAACCCCTATGATGATATTTGCTTCTAACAAGTATTTTTCGCATCAATAGTTAGCACATCTCAATCCTTAATTTATATGTAATCATATGCATTGGCCATATTATACTTGTTTTTATATCGTCTTTCGATCAAGTTACTGACCACAACTATTTTTCCAAGAAGAGCCCACCTGAATCTGATATAAAGAGCTTCTAATATACTTTTAAATCTTACTCAAGGTACTTTCTATGAAGTCAAAATGCAACACACATATAATGATGAAATTATATAGATTAAAATACAGGTGTAACTAGTGGTGTGTATTGTGAACTGCAGACCATGATGATGAAATTTTAATTACACAATTATATCTAACAAAAAAGAATTCACTCATGCATAGATATTTATGAACATGAACCTTAATTAACATTTTCTTTAATGAAGCTTTTTATGATGGGGTATATATAGGTGAGATGATTGAAAAGATATAAGCACCAGAAAATAAAGAAAAAAATTGGCCTATTTGTAGGGCTAATCATTATGAGGCTTGATTAATGTAGGAAAGAGAAAAGATTAAATATGGAATCAATTCTTTGATAAAACCAAAAATATGTAGCTTATTGTTATCTTTCGATTGAACCACTGTGATCTTTCTGTTTGTTCTGGGAATACTAACATCATGTGGTATCAGAATGTCATCATTCATGATGGGTTAAGTGCTTGTGGAACTCTCTCTCTCTCTCTCTCTCTCTCTCTGTGTGTGTATATGTATGCATATAAAAATTTAGATAGAGAGAGATTTAACCTAGAATCCGATCATGAGTAGGGTTTCAGTTCTACCATCTCAAAATCAATTACAGGGGCTCAAAATGGAAGATCACATCCATTAAACATATTCTTTGATATTCCAAATACATAGAAACCAAAATTAGTGTGATCAGATTGTATATTGTGTACTCCTCAAACTAATACTGGTATAAAAGGGTTTATGCATGAAACAACAATTTCAATCATTATAATTCACAAGTGAAATGATTTATCATGATCTGAGAATTATCATAGAAATACAAGTGAAATTTTAATGTAACTTGACTCGATTAGACCTAGTATATTCGGAGTGAACATTTACCTTAGGTTCCTAAAAGATAATTACATTGAAATACTTAATGAATAAACCATAATTTTTATTTTTTTCTAATTTTATACATAAATTATATAGTTTTTATATGTTTTGTTTATAAGTTAAAGCTATTACTTGATCAATTAGATGATATAAGCAGATAGGTGACAATCTATTCGTTATCTCCTTTCCCTAAGTGAAAATTTGGTTTCATGGTCAATAAGATTTCACCGTAAATCCTAAACTCTAAACTCTAAACATTTGGCTAAATTTACTTCACGCAGCTTTAATATCAATTTTGCTGTGTGTTTTTGAACTGTATAGGTTTGTAGAATAGATGAAGCATGGAATTGACTGTTTGAAGTTTGAACTGTAAGATTTGTGGCATAGATGAAGGATAGGAATTTAAACCAAAAGCAGTAAACAAAAGGAGGCTTGCTACACAGCATGGCCCCTTATATTCATTCCCTGTCTCCAATATGTTATGTCACAAGTACACTGCTCATAGGAATGTTCTCAATGCACTCTTTAACTCTAGTTTACAATGAAATAGAACAAAGATTAATAGCAGATATCTGCTCACATAATTCCTGCTCAATTTGCTGTATATAGGAGCCACTCCTGTTAACTATGTCTAGGGCTGAGCATTCATTACATGGAAAGTGAAAAATGGAAACTACTGGCATATATTTGATGTAAGGTATAACATATATATCAATTGGCAATCTATACAATCCAAAATTATGTTCAACTCAATGTAGGACTAGCCCTTAGTCCATCTTGACATGCAAAAATTTTCATAACAGTAAAATTTGATCCTGTTTATCTTTGTTCTTTTGGCTCCTCCAACCCGAAATGGACTAAACCAAGCTGATTGCATTCATTCGGTTAATTTAATTTACTCTTAGGTATATCTCACGTCACTGTTTCTGTCTCTCAATTAATGCTTCTTTGGAGACCAATGTAAGACAAAATGAACAATCATAGTTGAATCAGAAATACACAGTGGTTTAACCTTACCATGGAACTTTTTCATCATTATGTGATATGTTGTCTCAAGTCCTTTTTCATTAATTTTTCCGACTTGGATATTAAAATTACTAATAGAACAAGCAGTTCTTATCAATTTTTTACAGTTAGCCACACAAACATTTTACCAGAATTGAGATATATTTATGATCAATTCACTAATTTTGCTAATTCTACTTGTCCGTAACCCGATTTACATATTTATGATCACATCAATGCCCTATTGGACATGATTGTTTTTATAACTATCACCTTATTATATCTTTGAAATTTCATTACATTCTTGAAGTCAAGTACAATGTACATGCCTTTCTTCTTTGCAACTCCTTTATTTTTCAGTTTCTTAAGTAGCTTATGTTACTGATATTTGACATAAAGCACTTGAAAGTTTCCATCAAGAAAGAACAAACAAAAATAGAATAATGCTCTTAATATATTTTCCTTTCTTCATTCACCTACATGATAATTTACAGCAGGAAAAAGGCATTTACAAAAATCATTTTTTCCTTCCTTTCTCTCTGCATTTGAACTAACTTTATTTTGTTTGACTTGCAGTGGGCACACTTCCCTCATATCCAGTTTGGGCTAACAGTTGATGGGAATAAGCAACCAAAGACTGATGAACAAGTTGCTGCAACAGTCACTGCACCAGGAAGCCAAAAAGCTCAGAGTTTCTTCTAACTATTAATCTGGAGAGTGAGTAGATGCTGCAGTATATGAACTTGCATTCTGCAGGTCAATATGAAGTCCATTTTAAGTATCTTTACTTTGGAAACTTAATTGTAATAGGAAAAAAAGCCTTCTAAGCACTTTGCTACTCATGATCATTTATATTAATCCTATGCTATGCCAAACCTAATAAGCTTAATTTTATTTCACTCTAGTCTATTTCAACATTAGTCACACGTAAATTGTATGTGTTTGACCCCCCTTAAATCCTATATTGGCTAGAATCTCGTGCATTATGTGTTGATACTAGTGACAATTCTTTGATGTCACATTCTTCATCATGAACACTACATATTTTTCCCTTGATGCAAGAATGCTTCAAAAATCATGTCTCTTTCCCCTTTTTTTTTAATGAAGTTTCAATCATCATAGATCATATTTAGCACAGCCAATATTTGATCTGAAGTATTATAGTGTTGAGACATCAATCTCACCCTCATACACACCAATATATCTTTAGCCACTAAAACAGTAGCTGGTGCATTGCAGACTCAATTAATCCTGATATGTCCGAAGTGAATCTTCATGCACCTTAATTACCTCAAAATACTTAAAGATTAAACAATAATTTTTTTCATATTTTATAATAGTTAGCTACTTTTTTTATATTTTGGCATTACTTAGACTTATTATGTGCTCAATTAGGAGAATAAGTAGATACTTGATAATGTTTTTTTTTCTGCTCCTTGTAAGTGGAAATGTAGTTTCATGGTAAAAGGTGTTTTATGCAGCATATATATTAATTCATAAGACACTTGTGAAATCATATTTCTTCTTCACTTTATGATATCTATCTAGATATATGACATCTATTTGTATTACTATTTAACGTCAGTTAATTATTGGTTACTTTGCTTGTTTGTAGCTACAACTAAGATGGCCCTATGCATTCTTAGCCTATGTTCATAAAGCTGAAATCTGTGTTGAGAGTAGATAAAATCATAATCCAATAATAGAGCATTAGCTGATACTTCTGAGTAGATATGCATAGCTCCTATAACCTATACGTCCTTTGTCTATGTTCATAGGCTGACTTGTGATGGAATGTGGTATACAGAAGAAATTGGCTTTGAATTTTGTGGGAAATCTCACAGGATTGACTGAACTGCTTCTTAAATAACAAGCTGACATGGGTTCAGATATTCACTGTCACAGTGATGTGGGGAGATTTCTCATCTACAAATGCAGCAGTATAGAGAAATAAATTGGTTATCCATCTCATATTTGTAGGACTGCATTGGATATTTAACAGGTAGGAATTTAATCATTTGATGAGTTCTATCAATCAGATATCAAGTACTCCAAACATAATAGACACTAAAGATAAATAAGTTACATAAAGTTAGTGTCAATTTGTTTGGGAGCACACTAAACATGTTACATATAACAAAGATTGGAGTATGCAGCAAAGTGTTCTACCAAGCATCAAGAAGGAAGTTTCAGGACTTACAAGAACAAATATAAATTAGATGAGATATAAAGGCTTCAACAATATCAGCAAAGGGTTTATACATGTAAACAGACACATCTGTAATCCTAATAATCTCATGATACATGATGACAAGTTCATTAATATATGCATGAGAGAGTGAGAGAGAACGGGAATGGTGAGATGATGAAATGTCATATCAACAGTGACTGGGAATGTGGTGAGGTGATGAAGTGTCACAGTCAACAGTGATTCAGAATGTGTAGGGCTCTGCAACCGGGAACACGCCAAGAACACTCCCTCCCACGAATCTCTCCCTCTTTCTTTTTGGTCTTCCGTGAATTCAACGCAAGATGATATCACTTCCACCGCCATCAGCAGCAGCAGCAGCGGTTGCAGGCGGTTGCAGGCCTGCTATATTGAAAGCCAACCGTAGACGACGACGACGCCGGTGGATTCCAAGGAATAAATAGTGATATTGTGGCATCAGGATTTGACGTACCTATCCTTGCAAAGTCTCATAATAACGTTTTTTGCCCTTGCAAATTATACATATTTATATTTATATTTATAAATTAATATTCTTCATATATACATACTTCCTTGAATTTAATCGCATGCATATATTTCTTCATATATAGATCTTCTATTAATATATATATATATATATATATATATATATATATATATATATAG